TGTGTCATGCAATGCCAATAGAGGACAGAAGAGGGCGTCAGATCCCCTGGAACTGGAGTTACAGATGTTTGTTAGCTGCCATGTGGATGCTGAGCAGACCCAACTTTATTATTTTAATATAAATAATATTTTTAAATATTTTAATATTTAATTTTAATTTAATATTTTAAAGCTCTAATTCAGTTTATTAATCTTGTTTTACTGTACTGTGAATTGAAATAAGTTACTGATTGAACTTATACTACAGGCTTATTTTTTCAATGAATCCTATAATCTGCAGAGTTGTCTGTTGCTAGAGGGCCCCTCAAATTAAAGTGGTTTAGGCTTAAATTTCTGTTACAATTATTATGTTATGTCTTGATGTTCATGTATTTGAAGAGGTTGGCAATCCCAGTGTGAAGTGTGGTGTGCTGTGAAACTTCCTTACAGTTTTGTTTAAAGCAGAAGTTATACGCTTACATGTTAGGTGTCTGGTATTTTAGTCATGAACCGTCTTTCTTCTGACTTGAATCCTAGCCAAAATAGAATAGCATTTAAAGTCCCATCCAGATTTTTAACACTTTGTCTTAAGTACTTTTCCTGTTGCTGTGAAAATAACAAAAGCATCTTAAGGGAGAGAATGGGGTTTATTCTGGCTTACAGTTCGAGATGAAATCCATCATGACAAGGACGTCAGGCAGGAGCTTGAAGGAGCTAGTCACATCACATCCATAATCAGTAACAGCAGAATCAGTGTATCCTGCTGCTCAGGTGCTTTCTCCACTTCCGTAGTCCAGGATCCCAGCTACAAAATGCTGCCAGCCACAGAATGGTGCCACCCACAGTGGGTGAGTCTTCCCAGCTCAGTTACCACAAGCAAGATAATCCCAAAATATATATGCCTGGAGGTCCTTCTTGCAGGTGATTCTAGATTCTGTCAAATTGACAAAACCGTCACACAAATCAACTGTTGTCCTTCATCCTACAAATAAGTAATGGGTCCCTCTGAGTAGCAGTAGCAGACAATACAGCAGGTGCTACTTTCGTTTTATTCATTTTTACTTGGGAATACTTCTGTCATGTGATCCTGGTGTTCCTGGTGTTAGCTGTAGCCTGAATAGGACTCAGTGAATTAATTAAAAACCTGGCTTATGTGTAATATAGACATAAAATTGCTCGTTGCTTTTCCCACTGTGTTGTTCCAGCTTGTCATTTGCACCATACTTTTTCTGAGCCTGTCAAGTCCTGGTTTACTGTTTGGCTTTACTACAAATTAATTACAGCCTAGCATGTAAGTGATCAGTCTTGGGGACTTGAGGAGACAGATGGATTAATCCACCATACCTGTTGTCACTGATAACAGACGCTGACTTGCTGTTCCTCTTTTTCTAGAACTTTTTGATAACTTAGTTTTCTCTATCAATTCATCTTTGTAAACATAGACTGAAAACGTTTATATTTTTTGTAGGCAGTTATTTACTTGAAAAGACTGACAACCATATGCATCTATATAGAATATTCTTTTTCTTTTTTTAAAAAAGATGATGTTTTTAAAACAATCTGTGCACGCGTATGTGTGTGTGTGTGTGTGTCTGTGTGTGTACGTGTACATGTACATGATGGGAGGAGCATGTGGGTAGCAATCAGAGGACAATTTAGTAGAGTTGGTTCTCTTCTTCTAACTTTACATGGATTTGAGAGATCAAACTCAGGTCACCAGGCTTACACAGCAAGTGCCTTTACTCACTGAACCATTTTACCAGCCCCTAGTATCCATTCTTTATAATCAAATACATACTTAATAGAGGACATAGATACTCATTTATGTCAGCTGTGAATATTTTAAGCATTTCTTAGTTATGCCCAAAATATGTCAACTATTTTTAACATCAATGTAGTCACTTGACCTTGGCATTCACAGAATTGTATTTGGACCAGATAGTCAAGTAGGACAAATTAATGTAGAAATATTGAGAATTTCTAATAGTTTTTATGTAGCATGAGCAGCAGCAGAATGTATGTTGCTTTATTTTTTTATATCTCTTCCTTCATGCATTCAAGATTATTGATTTCTAAGTAAGAAAACTAACAGGATATTATATTAGACGTCAGAAGTGCAGAGGTGAACAAAACAAACATTTACCTTTAATGAGCATGAGGAAGAGAGTTGATGGTCACCTATAGTTAGGTTTGATATAATGGTGTGCAATTTGACGCACTTTATTTTTTTTAGTATAAATATTTTCAAGCCCAAGCCTATAGGATATGATTATGATACCACAGAAAAGGGAGCTTTCTTTTAGACTCTAGAATACTTTCTTGTATATTGACAAGCTTTCTGATTTTATAGTTTATTCTGTTTTGTTTTTAATTTTTTAATTTATTTTTGGTTTTTGTATACGAGTGTTAAGCCTGCATGTATATAAGTGCAGCTCTGTCATCCAGTGCCCACTAATGACAGAAGAAGGTATTGGATCCCATGGAACTGGAGGTTTGGATGTTGTTAACCTCCATGTGGGTGCTAGGAATTGAACCTGGGTCTTCTGAAAGAACAGCCAGCGCTCTTAACTACTCTTAACTGCTCAGCCATCTCTCCAACCCCATTTTGTTTGGTTTCATTTGTTGCAATGCTGGGATTTGAATCCAGGGCCTCATAAATGTTAGACAAGCATTCTATTTAGCTCTAGCCTCATCCTTTAACTTTTTGTTATGTTCTTGGCTCGTTTTCTCTCTTACTTTTAAAAACAGGATCTGTGTTCTCCTTTATCTGATTGTTAATAACCTCCCCAGATTCTTCATGATTTGCTTTATTTGAATTTGTGATTTTTCTTCAAAAGGCTAAATCTTGTTATGTGTAGTTCCTGTTAATAATTCATTTTCTCTTAAGTAAACTAAATTTCTACATGTGGAATTCTTTGTCTATTGTATTTGTATATCTACATTATGTTTCTTATTTGTGATAAAAAATTAAAACATTTAATGTTACTTCCTTTATTGCTATTTCCATGTAAGAAATTTTCAGTCAGGTCTGGAGAATATTTTGTGGTAATATGGTATTCATAGTCTTGTTACAATTGCAGGAGGAATCCTGTGCAAGTCATTTGTTTAGTACATATTGGAATATTTTGTGATGGGCATTTACTCCTTCCTATAGGACCCCATGCTGTGCCAAGACCAGTGTTATTTTAATTCCTTATTTTTTTCCCCCTTTTTTGCTTATCTTGAGAGTAACACATGTGAAAGGAGAAGGTAGTTCAGAAGCAGAGCAGTAAAACTTCTTGGATCTGGGGTATTTTTGTTTGATAAGGTGGAAGAGGATAGGAAGATAGAGAAATTAGCTTCACTCTATAAATGGGAAGTAAATTTATTGTAATCTAGACAGGAAAGAAAAGATTGGCTTTCTTTTTTAGAAATGATTTTTTAATTACCTTTGTAATTTCTTGGAGATTATTCTTTTCTGATTGTCAAGATGAGTGCACATTTACTATAGAAACATGAATTAAAGATTTCTACAAAGAAATCATTTCTCACCTGTAGACAGAAATATTCTCAACATTGTGAATGTCTTTTTCAAATTATATTGAAATGTGTGTATATATAAAGCATTTTAACAATAAAGGATATATATCCATGGTGCTGTAGGTTGTCATTTTTAAAATCAGAGTGATACACTGACTCCCCCCATGTCAGTTTGCTATTTCCCTGATGATGTTGAACAATTCTTAAAATATGTAACTCTGTGTGTGTGTGTGTGTGTGTGTGTGTGTGTGTGTGTGTGTGTGTGTATTTGCAAGGTAATTCATAATTGTAAAATGTCCAGCTTTTCTTCAGCAAGATGGCTCAGTGGGTAAAAGTGCTTGTTGGGCAACCAGAGTTCGGTCCCTGGAACTCATGTAAAGGTGGAAGGTGAGAACCAACTCTACAAAGTTGTCCTCTGACCTACTCAGGTGTCCCCCCTTCCCCTCCCCCCCCCGCCAATACACACACTAATAATAAATAAACGTTTTTTAAAATGGTCTGTCACAGAAATAGAAGGAGAATATCCTGTAAATTATTAAATAAGTTAATTTTTACTATATATCTATATATTTTACAATATGATTTTTAGTGCCAGTATAACGTTGCATTGTAATGTTTACAGATTTTGTCAACTTTTGTGTGTTTAGGTTGCTTCTGTTATAGTATGCTGTTTCAGATATCTTTGCATTGGATAGTGTATTTCCTGAGGCAAAATTTATAATTAAAAATCACCATGTTAAAGAAAATTATAAAATTTTATAAAGTTTTTATGCAATTTGCCTTTTAGGAAAGTTGTGCTGGTTACATTTTTGTTTTGTTTTGTTTTGAGTTTTTGTTGTTGTTGTTTTGGTTTTGGTCTTTTTGAGACAGGGTCTCCCTGTGGCCACAGCTGGCCTTGTTATGTAGACCAGGTTTGTCTTGAATTCACAGAGATCTGCCTGCCTCTGCCTCCCGGGTGCTGGGATTAAAGGCATGCCCCACCATGCCTAGCAAGAGTATGTCTTCTTAACTGTAATAGGTAGATAATAACTTTATTTTTCTATTCCTATTATTAGAAGTTTGCAATCACTTTTTTTGTTAGTGAAGGTGATGGTCTCATGCTTCTTAACTGTTTGTTTTTATTTGAATATTTAGATTTGCTTTTTGTTTGAAATCTTTTTGTGTTAAGGATATCAGCATTCAAAGAACATGAATAGTTTGCTTAACCATAGGTATTTTCTTTTCTGGTGTTATATACTATATAAATTATATAAACTTAAATTTAGTACATGTTTTTTAAATACTAATGTGTAGTAGGACTTTTTATTGTAGTTTATTTTGGAATAATTTGTTCATTAATAAATGGTCTATGTATTTTAAGTATGTGGTAAAAAGATATGCTTAAATAAATTTGCTATATATATTATATTGAAAGTGAGAACAGTAATAAACATTTTATGACTACTTTGTTAATTTTTTCATTGATTTAATCAAGGTTTTTTTTTTTTCCTCTCTGCTAATAGCTACAAGTGTATTCATCAAAGTTTGGAGGACAATAATAGATGTCCCAAGTGTAACTATGTTGTGGACAATATTGACCATCTCTATCCTAATTTCTTGGGTGAGTCTTTGAAATTAATTTTTACTTTATTCTTTCCACAAAAACACTAGTTTGTTTAGAAATCCCAACTCAGAAGTAAGCAAGTTCCTATGTTACTCATTAGGATGCTTTGATCTTTTGGGGCTATGAAATAGACTATATATGGTTAGTACCATTTCTTGTTATTTTTAGTTTTATAAAAGCAAAACCTGGCAGGGCCTTTAGAGTTTTGTGCACATGATTCTACAGGAAGTAAGGTTTCATGAGATTGTCTGATGTCTAGACACATTGTGTGTCTGTGTATAGTGTATCCTGTTCCTGTCTTTCTGCTTAGAGGATAGATTTGAGAAGTAGCAAAGGAAGGGTTTAATGAGGAGGCAGAACATGGGCTTGGGGACTGTTGTCAGAAGGAAAAAATTGAGCATGGGAATTCCTGCATGAGGAGGGAACAGAGCCTTTAAACTAGAAAAGGACTCAGAGGAGGAAGATATAAATAATAGAATTTTGAAATGGGAATGTAAGAACTGGAGTACAGCCTTAAATATAAATGGTAGAAGCTTGGGTTTAGTATGTAGTTAAAGACTGATCATGAGTTTAAAAAATGGTTTTTGTCACAGGTGGTGGCACATGCTTATAAACCATTACTTGGGGAGGCTGAGGTAGAAGGATTATATGATCCAGGCTAGTCTAGGCTTCATAGTGAGAGACCCTGTCTCAAAAACAGTTACTATTCTTTTTTTACACTTTGAATGTCTTAACATAAAATTACAGACCCAACTTCAATATGAATTGAGAGAATAAGAACGAGAACACAGCAGAAATACTAAAGCTAAACTAATATATGTCAACAGAATATATAAGTAATTTATGAAGACGGCTAGTCACAGAATGTTTGAATAAAAAAAAAAAAAAAAAAAAAAAAAAAGAAGAAAAGAAAAAGCAAGGTAAAATGAGAACATCTAATGCCTGGGGAATCCTAGGCAGCCTCAGAGTGGCTGGTTGCCAACTCTACAAACAACTTAGGCAGAGGTTTGTAACTTCAAACCCGCCTCATCCCTGAGGAAGGGAAAGGGGCTGAAGGATGAGTTATTCCCCAGTGACCAATGATATAATGAATCCCTACAACTTAATGAAGCCTCCATAAAAAACCCGAAAAGATGGTGCAGAGATCTGCATGATGCTCAACATGTGGAGGTGCTGAGAGGGTGGAGTGCCTGGAGAGGAGTCAGAGGCTATGTGTTCTTTCACCTGCCTTACCCTGTGTATTCCTACACCTGGTTCTTTACTTGGATCCTTTTAGACAGCCTTTGGGATAAATCAGTAAAACAACAACAGAAAGGTAAAAAGAGGGAATTAAAAACACATAGCTTATATACTCAGGTTATCAACCCATTAGGGTGATTGCTATGAAAAAAGAAAAGGAAAAAAATGTGTTTTCAAAGATGTGGATAAATTGTGTACTGCTGGTGAGAACATAAAATGGAATATACACTGTGGAAAATGTATGGTGTTTCCTGAAAAACAAAATTCTCATATGATCCCATTTTACCCATGAGTATATGTGAGTCCTGCAGGAGTATTTGTGCATGCACATTCATAGCAGCATGATTCACAGGAGCCAGGAGATGGAAGCAACCTACTGTCCATGGAGGGATGCGTTGATAAGGTGTAGCATGTGTACACTATAGAATATTATTCAGATTTTTAAATGAAAAAAGTTCTGGCAAAACCTACAACACTAAGTACACACTGACTTCTCTTCCCCTTACCCAAGTTTGCAAGTACTTTCCTGAGGTCAAGGATTAGTCTTTCGTTTACCCCCACCCTCCACTCCACTGAGGGTGGGGGTATGTTTGTCTCTGTGTCTGTTATAAATCAACCTTTTATTTAATATAATTATCACTATGCACGCAAACTTTAAGACTTGGCATGGCAGTATGCACCTGTAATCCCACCATTTCAGAGACTGATGCAGGAGGATTTTTTAATTAAATCCCAGCCTGAATTGCAGAAAGGTCTCTAAGAGGAAAAAACACAGGCGTTCTGAACTGCTTTTGGGCACTAACTTATGTGCTTTATGGATGGGAATTTATTTAATCTTTATGGACGGCTACTGAGATCTGCTGTTACCATGCTTACTCCTTAGACGAGGACACTGAGGCACAAATGGTTTGAATAACTTGGGTAAAGTTATGTAGCCAATGGATGATGGAATTAAGATTTGGTCTTTATAGCCTTATTTAAGAGCCTGTTCTTTTAAAACTATATTATTTTGTTTTTGAAATGGCTGGAGTGGAGGCTTCAGCAGTAGAATGCATTTCCTAATACTAAGAACCTTCATTCTCAGGATTATGAATGTTATATGATTCCAGATGGTATAACTATTGTGTGTAAGTCATTCTTCTGAGAACTCATTAAGGTTTCAAGTACTTGCCTATCCTGATAAGAAATATGAAAGTGTTAACTAAAAGTGGCATGCCAAATTTGAAATACAGAGTCATATCATTAAGGTTTAATTCATCCAACAGTAGAAACTTATGACCCATCAGCTCTGTACATTGGTAAAAGATGGCAGAGATTGAATCATTAAATGCTTCAATCTTTAGCATGAAGAGGAAGCCAGTTGATGTTCTCTGTTAACAGCAAAACATTGCTTTTATAATAAATTTCCAAAGTTACAGAATGAAATTGTCCATTTTGCTTTTCTTGTTTTTGTGTTATGGCATGGATTGAAAGGAATTTTTCTCTAAATTTAGGACTGTGATGGCTTTGACAAATTCCCATTTCATTTTTGAATTCATTATATGTAGCTTGTATTTTAAGAGATTTCCCCAGAGATAACTGCTGTTTGTTTAAGGGAATGTTTTTAAAGGGGGCGCTAGCAGCAAGAAAATTCTGATCCATTAATGAAGACTTTATGTTGGTAAACACATGATTTATTTATTATTTTAAAAAATTATTTTTGAGACCTGGCTTTTCTATATAGCCTTATCTGTCTTGGAGCTGTGATCTTCCTGCCTCTGTTTCTTGAATGCTGAGATTATAGACATGTATCACCATGCTTGGGTGATTTTTTTTTTTTTAATACCAATTAATTTATTTTTGTTTTCATTTTACCTTGATTTTTAGAACTGTTTTTGCAATTTGTAATCTTTGAGAACTTGATTATACAGGGTTGGCAAGAATTAAATATAGTGGTATATTAGACTTACTGAAATGTAATAGTGTACAATATTGCAAAATAAAGTCACAGTTCTTGTTCAGATGATAATTTCTATAAACGAAACATTAAACTTTACTTGCTTATTCCCATTGCATTATTTCAAGTTTGCTTGTAGATTATAATACTTGAGTGATGTGTTTACATTTAGACTTTTCAGAGTCAGACTCTGATCTATTAGGGTTTTTTTAGCCTTAATTCTTAGCCTCTATTATTTACAAAATAATGTCTCAGTATGGTTTTTTTTTTTAAATATTTATTTTTATTTTATGTGTACGAGTGTATTACCTGCACGTATGTGAGTGCACCCATGTCGTGCAATGCCGCGGAGGTCAGAAGAGGGCTTTGGATTCCCCTGAAACTGGAGTTAAGGATGGTTCATAGCCACCATGTGGGTTCTGGGAATCGAACCCGGGTCCTCTGCAAGAGCAGTCGGTGCTCTTAACCACTGAGCCATCTCTCTAGCCCCTCAGTATGATTGTTTTAAGTCATCCTCAGATACTTCATGATTTTAGTCATCTGCACAGTATACACTTTGATCTGTATTCTCTTCCATCCTTTCTGTGTAGTCTCTGCATATTTGGTCCAATTCTTTTGTGATTTGTTTGTTTGTTTGTTTGTTTATTGGAAGAGTTAGTTTATCCTGGCTTAGGTTTGCAGAAGACTAAGAGTCATCAGATCAGGGAGTATGGCAGGCATGTTGGCAGGAACTGAAAGCTAAGAGATCTTATCCTTTGTGCAAACACAAAGCAGAGAGAGCAAACTGGAAGTAGGACAAGGCTACGAACTCTCAAGTCTGCCTCCAGTGACACACTTCCTCCCCCAAAGAGCTCTACCAACTGGGGTCAAGTATTGAAATACTTAACCCTATTGGGGGGCATTTCTCATTTTAACTACCACATTCCATTTCCTGGCCCCCATAGGATCATAGCCATATCGTAATGCAAAAAGCATTTAGTCCAACTTTTAAAGTCCCTGGTCTCTCACAATCTCAACAGTTTTCAAAAATCCAAAGTTTCTTTTGAGACTTTTAACTGTAACTCCTACAAAATCAAAAGGCAAATTAGATACTACCAATATACAATGGCACAGAATGTACATTCCTATTCTAAAATGGAGGAATGGGAGCATAGTGAGGAAATGCTGGACCAAAGCATGACTGAAAGCCAACAGGGCAAACACCAAGTCTTTAAGCTCCATGTCCCATATCTAGTACTTTAGTTTTTTAAAGGTCTTAGATGGCTCTGCCCCTCCAGCTTTGTTGCCTACAGCATACATCTCTCTCTTGATCCTGTTCCAGTCCCTGTATGCAGCTCTTCTTGGCAGATGTCTCACAACTCTGGCATCTCCAACATCGTGGGGTCTCCGCAACAACCAAGACTTACTTTCATCACTTCAAGCTGTGTCCTCTCAGGGCCTTCTCACAGGGTTGGCCCAGTTCTTATGTGACCTCTATGTGGTCCCTGGCCTATATACTTTGTAAATCTGTATCATCTCATTCATCCCATTATATTACACTATTATAGCTTATGTATCTGCTTTCCTAGGGTTGAGACTGAATCATTTTATTACTTTTCAAAGCTTCAATCTTAAAATGGGCTGGCTACCTGTCTATTTTTCAACATATTTGACATTTGATTGTAGATACCAACTGTTTTATTTGTTACCCTGAACAAATTTATGATCTATTCCTAATATTCCTTCCTCTTTAATAGAAAGATTAATGTAATATCTATAGAGCCAAGTTCCTATCTAGCCTAGTGCTAGTTTTGTCAGTTCTTTTGGTATCAGTATTTATTAGCTATGAGAACAATCCCCCTGACTCAAAAGTAAAAGTGATTTAAACACTACTTAAAATGTATTCATTTACAGAGAAATACTTCCCAGGGCTGCGTAGTCATTCAGTTAAATGATATGTTAAATTCCTTCCATCTTTGTGTTCTTCTCTCATATGTCATGGTTCTTTGTGTAGCTACCCCAGTATTTCAAAATGGCTTTAAGTAGATTCAGATATCATTTCCTTATGAAGACAGAAAAATGTTTTCTCTATCATCTTTTGAAAATAACATGTCTCCCATTGGTTAAGAATAGGTTTCCAGGCTGGGCGTAATGCATTTCTATAATACCAGATGAGGCAGGAACATCAGGAGTTCAAGTCAGATTTGGCACATAATGAAACTTTGTCTCAAAACCAAAAACTGTCATATTCTTAGCCTCACATCAATCACTGACAAAGATCTAAATGACTAGTTTGGCCAACCTGGTCTACATAGTGAGTTCGAGGCCAACTGGGGCTACAGGGAAACCCTATCTCAAACAACAACAAATTATAAAAGTATTTCCTTAATAAAAGTCGAAATAGTAACAAGGGAAGGAAAAATCTTAATTTAAAATAAAACAAAAAGTTGCCATTTTGTGATTAGCATCTTTTTAATTTGGGGCTCTATAAATATAAAGTGGAATCTGAACAGAATAATTAGAAGATGCATTTAACAAAAAATACAAATTTGGGGTCCTCTGTTTTTGTTTTCAGTGAATGAACTCATTCTTAAACAGAAGCAAAGATTTGAGGAAAAGAGGTTCAAATTGGACCACTCAGTGAGTAGCACCGTATGTTTCAGCTCTTATTACTATTTCTGGTTTTGTTTGTTTTGCTTGCTGGGGGTGGAGCTTAGGGCCTTGCACATATTAGGCAAGCATTCTGACAACCAAGCAATATCCCTAGCCTCTGATTGCTGTTTCTAATGAGTTCATTTTGATGCTTTTTTTCAATAATAGTTAGATGTTAGATTTAGTTTATAATTGTGGTTTTTTTCCTTTTTTAAATTTAGTGTATAATTGGTTTTTCTTAAAGAAAGGAAATTTAAGATTGTTTAAGTCAAATAAATAATTAAATAACTTTCTTAATTGCATTATCTGTAATAGTTTACCAGACTAACTATCCGTTGTTTGAAGGTTCCTGGTGCTATCATCTTGAGACAGAGTTGATTTGTAATATATCTGGCATTGAAGGGTTATATGCCAAAATATTGTGAATAAACTGCTAGAAGTTCTAAATTAAAGAATTAGCCCCACAGTATTCAGACAGATGCATGTAATACCTTACCACATGCTGTTTAAATCCAGCTGTGTTTTGACTTACACTTAGAGGTTCTTAAGATTTGCCTTTAGTGTGCCTTTCATACCCATTACCTGAATTCATTCAAAGTAGAAGTATTATTTAAATTGTAGCTCAAGGTCCGTTATTTGAGAGGGGGGGGGAGTAGGTTGGAACATGAGTGTAATTTTACTATCTAACAAAGCACATTATTAGAAAGTACCCTTTAAATGTTTATTTTATAGTCTAAAAAAGTCTTCATCTTTTCAATTTTAGAATGGCCATAGGTGGCAAATATTTCAAGATCTGCTGGGAACTGATCAGGATAACCTTGATTTGGCCAATGTCAACCTCATGTTGGAATTACTAGTGCAGAAGAAGAAACAACTGGAAGCAGTAAGTGGTACTTGAATCTAAAAATACTTTCTTTTTTATGATAATGTGTTTGCTATGAAAAATATCTAGAAAGGTTTTAAAATAATAGATGAATAACCCATCTTTTAAAAAAATTATTTATTTAATAACCACATCATTAGAAGAAGCATTTCATTACAACAGCATTGACATACTCAATAACAATTTCCAGAGCTAAGATGCATCTCTTTCAAAACTGCCTGTAAATTTTAGGTTTACACTTAAATTAATACAGTTATACAATATTGAACTCAGTATAAACCCTATAAGACATAAAATTGAATGAGGTTTTAACCTTTAAAAAAGATCTCCATTTCATTTTAAAATATGCTGTTTCATACAGAAAAACTCATTTTTAATGCAACATGTTTGCACGTGTCTCTTATCTATATATCTGATTATTACTAGTCACTGTTGGTTACTTTCTGAGATCCTTGGTACCTGAGCGTGGATATAAAGTCATCAGGTAGATTTCAATGGTAATGTTTTACACATCTACTAATTAACATGTAGTAAAGTTTTATGCTTCTTCCTCAAATATAACTCATTTTTAAAAAATTTATTGATTTGTGTGTGTGTGTGTGTGTGTGTGTGTGTGTGTGTGTATTTCATACAGAACATCCCAAACAGTCTTATTCATCTATATACCCACATCCCAAGTGGCACCTTCCCATACCCCTGCCCCCTACTGGAGCCCATATACTCTGTCATCCCTGTTACTGTCCACTGTGTGGTTGGTGCCCCCAGCTGTTCCCCAGTGCTTGTCCATCGGCTGAATCTAGTCAGCCTATCTAGAGTTCCTTATTTTAGGAAGATCAGCTCTTCCTCATCTAGCAGCAAGCAGTTGCCAGTATTTCTTTAGATAAGATTCGGGTCTGCTGTTCATTTTCCCAGGTCTATGCTGGGTTACTGTCTATAACTTATCTTTTTTATTTGACTAAACACATCTGAAAAGGCATTTTTGCCAGAGTCCCTATTTTCAAGTTAAACAAGGATTGAAATCTTTACAACCTATTTGCAATGACCAGTTTGTAGTAACAAAAACTGAGTGCTAAAGAGAATGAGAAAATAGTTTAGTTTTAATAAGAAACAATTATATTAATTTTTCTTCTAATGACTGTCTTCTTTGCCATATCATCCTCTTTGAAATTTGGAGACAAAGTAAAATTTATTTTTTGTCTATAGTAGGTAAAAATCCTTCCAGCAGGCTTCTTTTCATAATAACAGTAATCTATAGCTTAAGTAAGAACATTTAAAGAGATACAGTTAAATGAAAATAAATGTGACATGTATTTCATATAAATAAATGTAAAAGATGTGAAATTGCATGTACTAAGTCCAGAATCGGCCACATTTCAAGCAGTGTGCATCTTAGCACAAGCAAATGCATGCCCCGACCTAGCTTAATCATTGAAGTGGGTATTTATTGAGATAGACGGGAGTATGGGAGTATATGTAGGTGAACAGCCAAATATTCAATATTAGAATTGTGGCGGCTTTGTCAGACTCCAAGCAAATGCGATTAGAGATTTGACTATTGTTAAGAGTCTCTTTTATAACTCTTGTGCTTATTTGTTGGAACAGTTCAAGTTTTCTTTACTGATAGGTTCTTGTTATGTGGTAGATAATGCAGCCACCTGTACTTTGTTTACCTTTGTATCTTCAGAGCTTTTAGCTCTCATTTCAATTTTGAAACTTCTGTGGATAGATTCTGATCAGCTTCTCCTGGACTTGGATCCCACTAAGTAGGTTGGGAATCTATTGGGAGAAAAGGAGCCAGTCAGAATGATGTCTTCTAACTTGTGTCTTTTTATGGAATGGAGTTATAGGGTAATTTCTCCTGTACTTTAATTTTTTTTAATTATATTTATTTATTAAATTGTGTATATATGTATGGGAGCCAGGTATGTCATGTTGTATGTAAAGATCAAAGGTCAATTTTGCAATTCGGTTCTCTGTGGATCCCTCTGATGGAACTCAGGTCATCAGGCTTGACGGTAAGTGCCTTTACCTAACTCAACCATCTCACTGGCCCCATGTTCCCTTTTGAAACTAAGAAAATGACAAGAGATGATGTAAGCAAAGAAAATGGGAGGAAAGACAATGACAGAAATATTTTTTAAGTTGTAAAGTAGATGAACAAAGCAGTTTTTCAGATCCCACAAAGCTGTACACTGAGCCAGCAGTGGGGTAAAGCTAGGAATTTATATGTATTGTGGAGTAGCGCTCTGGGATTGGGAGCATCCGGTTATCAGATGTAGTATAGGTTGAACACAGAATTGAATGAGAGACTGTTTAAGAAGCAGTGGAGGGTCAAGGAGATGGTTCAGCAGGTAAAAGTGCTTACCATACAAAATAAAATCTTGACATTCTTGCAAATTTCTGGATCCCACTGTAGAAAGGGAATTGACTCCCTCAAATTATCATCTGTGCATTGTGGCATACACACACACGCACACACATACACATACACATATATACACATACACAATACTACTGCTAATAAATAAGCAGGTAGAATCCATGATCCCTCCCTATTTAACTCAGCTAAATCTTCCTTCTCTCAAGGAAATTCAAAAGAAAATTAAAATTTTTGCCCTTCCGTCTTGCAGCAGTGATGAAAGACTGGCTCTCTGGACTGTTGTGTTACAGGCACACCTGATGGTGTTGGGATCCAATACTGTTAAGATCGTAGGTAATTACATACTGAATCTGAGAACTTTTTTTGTTTTTTTGTTTTTTTGTTTTCCTTTTTTAAAAAATGTGGTGCTAAAGATTGAACTTAGGACCTAATGAAAACCAGGCAATTCTGCCAGTGATCTATATCCCCAAACCTGAATGTGAGAACTGTTAACTCACCTTTTAACATGGCAACATTAGTCTTTCATTCCTCTTTGGCTTTTTGTCTTCAAATTAAAGAAACAGTTATTAATTTTAGATCACAGATTTCTTTCTACTGTTTGCTGAAGAAGGAGTCAGCTAAGAAGGTACTTTATAGCTTTTTTTTTTTTTTTTACATTGTTTTCCTTTATTTCCATTGCTTACTTTTTATTATTAACCAACTTGAAGAAACCAACATATGGACAGTGACAGAAAGCAGTATGAGGCCATGATGATACACTTTAGTTTTAATCAGTGGTGACACCTTCTTCTTAGTTCAGAGTTTTGAGAATTAAGTATCTCCTATACATAAAGTTCTTCCATCTCACTACTTTCTCAGAATAACCACTGGGAAGAATCCTTCTTGAGCATTTCTATGCATTCCTTTTATACACACAAAACCACACACACACAGACACATGCACAGAGGAATTGCTGGTGTATGGATGTGTGTATATGTTAATCTTATAAAATAATAGATAATGACAAATTGCTATGGTAGAGATTGCCAAGTGATTCTGTGGGTCTATATCTTAAAAATGCTTAGTATTTTTTTCCTTCTTAATTTCTGCCAATCTCAGGTAATGCACGCAGGTGTGTGTGTGCATGCACACGCTCACGATTATGGGAACATATGTGTTATGGTACGTATGTGGACATCAGTAGGTATTGGTCCTTACCTTCCATCTTGTTTGAGACAAGATCTCCACTGCTGAGTACACCAGGCTAGCTGGCCTGGGCAATTCTTTTGGCTCCACTTCCATCTTGAGTAAGGAGCACTAAGATTTACTGATGAGCACTGCAGTATCCATTTTCCAACTTTATGTGGGTTCTAGCAATCCAAACTCAGGTACTCATAGGTATACAGCAAGTGCTTTACCCATTTCTCCAACTTTGACCTGTTTTGTATTTAGAGTAGGAATGCATATTAACTCCCTTTTATACCATTTTAGCCAAGGCCAGAAACTAAATTTGACTTTATAGTTCTTTGAAATTGATTGGGATTTTCATAAAAGCTCAGCATATGCTTTGTTCAATGTTTCAGTTGTGTTTGAAAATTGTGGTGCTTTATAAACATTACATTTATATTTATAATATATTTAAATAAACTATAAATACTGGTCTTAAATCTGTCAGTTATTGATAGAGATGTGTTAGAATTATAATTTCAATTTTTTTTCTGTAATTTTTACTTGATGTGTTTTGAGACTGTATTATTAGGTATATACAGATTTAAGATAGTTAAGAAGACCACTGAATGAATTAATCCCTTTATTATTGTTAGATAAATAATTCTATTGGTAGAAACATTCCTTGTTACTAAGTCTGTTTTGTCTGATACTGATACAGCTACAATATTTTGCTGTTTTTTCTTTTTTTCCTGTAAGAAATAAATGTTATTAACAATATGGGCTACAGAATGTAGATGGGTTTATTTTACTAATTTATTTTAAATTTATATATTTAATGAATAATAAGTAACTAATAAGTATTACATATTTATCTGTGTGCACACACACATGCGTATGTGCATGTACATGTGGAGGTCAGAGGACAATTTGGAGAAGTTGTGGGTCCCAGGGATTGTACTTGAAGTTGTTAGGCTTGGCAGCAAGTACCTTTATTCCCTGAACCATCTTACCAGTCAACTTACTAATTTTTTGAGGGATCTATCATTCTTAGTGTACCATGTGTGTGCAGTACCTACAGTAATCAGAAGAAGGCATTGACTTCTCTGGAACTGGAGTTACAGATGATTGTTAGTTGCCATATGGGTGCTGGGAACCAAACCCAGGTCCTCTGCAAGAACAACCATGGCTCTTAAACACTGAGCTAGCTCTCCGGCCCCCAAGGGACCATACTTTTTAAACAGCTTTGATATGTGGGTTGAAATTCAGGTGGATATCTGAAGTGGGTAGGGAGTCAGTGCATTTAGACATGGAGGACTCTGGCTCTATAAATATGGCAGTATGGAGACTAGATTTTCTTCAGGGCTCCATGAAATTATTACTGAACAAGAGGGAATATTAGTCACTGGGGAGGTCAAGTAGAAGGGGATATTGGAGAGGCTGGTTGAGCCAATGTATTGATATTGGCATTCC